ACTCCCTCCAAAGGCTTTCCATGGGGTTGAGATCTGGAGACTGGCTAGGCCACTCCAGGACCTTGAAATGCTTCTTACGAAGCCACTCCTTCGTTGCCCGGGCGGTGGGTTTTGGGATCATTGTCATGCTGAAAGACCCAGCCACGTTTCATCTTCAATGCCCTTGCTGATGGAAGGAGGTGTTCACTCAAAGTCTCACAGTACATGGCCCCATTCATACTTTCCTTTACACGGATCAGTCGTCCTGGTCCCTTTGCAGAAAAACAGCCCCAAAGCATGATGTTTCCACCCCCATGCTTCACAGTAGGTATGGTGTTCTTTGGATGCAACTCAGCATTCTCTCTCCTCCAAACACGTTTGTAGGTGACCAAATACTTATTTTCCACCATGATTTGCAAATAAATTCTTTAAAAATCAGACAATGTGATTTTCTGGATTTTTTTCCCCATTTTGTTTGTAGGTGACCAAATACTTATTTTCCACCATGATTTGCAAATAAATTCTTTAAAAATCAGACAATGTGATTTTCTGGATTTTTTTCCCCATTTTGTTTGTAGGTGACCAAATACTTATTTTCCACCATGATTTGCAAATAAATTCTTTAAAAATCAGACAATGTGATTTTCTGGATTTTTTTCCCCATTTTGTTTGTAGGTGACCAAATACTTATTTTCCACCATGATTTGCAAATAAATTCTTTAAAAATCAGACAATGTGATTTTCTGGATTTTTTTCCCCATTTTGTTTGTAGGTGACCAAATACTTATTTTCCACCATGATTTGCAAATAAATTCTTTAAAAATCAGACAATGTGATTTTCTGGATTTTTTTCCCCATTTTGTTTGTAGGTGACCAAATACTTATTTTCCACCATGATTTGCAAATAAATTCTTTAAAAATCAGACAATGTGATTTTCTGGATTTTTTTTCTCATTTTGTCTCTCATAGTTGAGGTATACCTATGATGAAAATTACAGGCCTCTCTCATCTTTTTAAGTGGGAGAACTTGCACAATTGGTGGCTGACTAAATACTTTTTTGCCCCACTGTAGATATTTCTGTGAGCAGCTCTGCAAGCAGAGATAGCACAGCAATGGAATCACCAGCCAGGAAATGGTTCTGGCTGATGGAAATTTCTCCAGGGAAGAAGAAATCAGGGGATTACCTGCTTGTGCTCTGGAAGAGCTGCTTCTCAGGAGATCACAGGAATTTAGTTTCTTGAGGTCGATTCTGAGTCGAGGGATTTACAATATGCCCTAAACTACTGTGCAGCCTTCATGGACATCTGACTGCCAAAAGCCTCACCTAGTTAGTTTTTATCATCTTGTTTAAAAGTTTCAATAAAAATTATGTAAAAACAACAAAGAAGAGCTCCCCCAGATGTGTTTAAGGAAAAGAAAAAAAAAAAGTATTATCAGCTGCTGAGTGAAATGCTAATGGGTAACAAAGGCAGAATCAAGTGATTCCTATTTTATCTTAGTCTTCTCTGAAAAAAGAATATATGTTTCAATAGGCAATTTTTAAGAGGTGGCTGAAGGAACAGGATTCCAGGTCAGGCTTGACAGAAACATAGGGAATATATGCTGGCCTTGAATGAGTTCAAATCTCAAAGACCAGACAGATTCCTTCTTAAAAGTAGTAAGGAACTTGCTAACAGTCTGGTCAAACCTCTCATTATCTTCAAGGAATCCTAAAGAATGAGAAAAATATCAGAGAACCAACATCCCTCTCTTAATTTGATTAGCTTTTGATTGTGAAAAGGTTGGGTGTATCTGTTCATCCTAACAGAAGCATCATGACATCCTGAATAGGAAGTGAATTAAGTATGGGATGTATAGCATGGCATGTTTATTGAGTGGATTTGCAACTGGCTTGAAACCATATTCCTAGTGTTAAACAGTAAGTAAGAATACCACAGGGTTCAGTTTTGGTCCTTCTGTTCTTCAGCATTTTCATTTATGACTTGGATGAGGTAAAGGAAATGCTCATCAGATTTGGAGATGACACAAAAATAGCTGAGACAGCTAGTAATGTTAAAAAAATAATTCAGAATTATTTTGATAGGTTAGATAAGTGGCTGAAAATAACTGGACAAAATTAAATAGAAACAGAATTTCTTATGGAAAAATCAAATGTACAGTATGATTTGTTAAAATGTGTTAAAACAATGTTGGAACTGTGAATCATAAGGTAATGTGCAATGTTTTAGATTCAGTCTCCAAAAACCACTTCTGGATACTTGGGAGTGCAAATGTAGCCCTTGGCTGCAATATCTCAACGTACCTTTTGTCTTTTTGTTGAAAAACGTGGCTGATTTAAGGTGCTATAGACAGATGCTACTTTCATGCTTCCTCATATTTTGCAGCCCCTATAAGAGAAGCAAAAATCTGAAGTCCTACTAAATAGGACTCAGCAATATGACATGGCTGCTAAAAAGCCAAGTGCAATTTTAGTATTCATCAACTGAAGCATAATTTCCAAACTTGAGAAGTAATACTGTTTTATTCAGTATTGGTTGGACATCTGGTAAGGTAGTGATGTGTTAAGTTGCAGGCGCTTCTCTGTTGCTCCATGATTGTTGAAAACAATATCTTGAACTTCCTGTTAGAAACAATTGGTAAGTAGCAGTACTAAATGAATTGTTCCTGCTTTTAGAATGAGGGAGGGGGGAATTGTCTGAAGAAACAACCCTCTTCTTCCTAAATTGGAACAACTGCCTCTGCTGAATAGCCTGCCCTAGTTGCACTTTCTGAAGAAGCACCTGCAGAGCTGGAGATTGTGGCATCAAGTGAGAAAACAAACATTTTTCCTCAAGAAGTAAGGGCTTTGACAGAAATTCCATTAGATTATTTAGTGAAATCACTATTCTGATTCAGAGTTACCTTCTGATTTGGCAGCAATATTACAAGTTTTGAATGTTTAATTTGTCAGTGTAATGGGAAAAAGGAATAACATTGAGGAACAGGAGGAAGAGCCACAGCCAAGGTAACAGTCAAATAAAAGAAATCTGAATCTGGGCCAGAACTGTAACCTGAGAAAGTATCTCAGATATGACCCGACCCTAGTTCTCATTAAGATAAAGCAAAGAAGTGGAGAAGTGCATTCAACCTGGAAGATTCTGTTACTATTACCTTATAATAAAAGTGATATTAGCTTGCATGTTTTTGGTTTCCAAGTTTGGTCTACCTTGCAGGGTTGACATCAATCTTGCAAATATCAAATAATTTCCAATTTTAAGGAAATTAGACATATTCGAGCTTTACTAGGTAAGGAATTCTCATGAGTAATTAATGCTTTGGAATAACCATTATCATCACAGACAACTGTATTGTGAACAATTGTGTTTATTAATTGTGCACTACAAACTTATTAAGTGAATAGTGAAATGCTTGTCTATTTACTGTGCATTTTATGTTTCCCATACATTAACTCTCTCTTCACCTCTATCCTAGAATCAATCAATCAATTTTGTGTCAGTCATAGACCAGCATACCTCTATCCTAGAACTTTTTCCTCTATCTGGATTTAATTCTAAGTTCTCCCCTTCCACTTCCCACCGATTCTGACCAACTCACAGATGGTCTTTATCTTTCCTCCTGGATTCTTCTTTTTCTTCAACTGGCAGGAAATTTTCATCAGCTCTGTGGTAGCCTAACTTTAACTCACCTCCTTAACCTACCCAACCATTAATTCTAGTCTTTACCTATGCATTTTCTATCTTAGCTTTAATTAAACCTTATCCATCTTTCGTTCTCTACTCACTGTTTATGCAGGTCCCAGACCCATTCTGCTGGGCTCTCGAAGTGGCTGCCATCTCATTCCCTCTTTACCTCCTAAGGCTGTTGACACCTGAAGATCTGGTGGCCATAAAT